GGTTCAAACCCACCAGCCACTCCTCGGAAGGAAGGTTGGGCAATCTACTTCCGTAGTGATACTGCCTTGGAAACCCAAGGAGGGGTCACTGTGAGTTGGGGCCGACTCAACAGCACATAACAACAACATCATCATAGACCTTAAGCAACACATACCTATAGATAATTCACAGACAAAATTATTAAGAGCCAGAAAACATGAAAAAAGGGTACCTGACTAGACAGAAGGGACTGGTCCTTGGGCAAGCATGGCATGCTTGTTAAAGTAGAAGTTAAGTGAAAAAAGGGGAACACCCTCAACAAATGGATTGAGACAGTGGCTGCAGTGGTGGGCTTAAGCATAGCAACAATTGTGAGGATGGTGCAGGACCAGGCAGTGTTTCATTCTGTTGTACACAGGGTTGCTGTGAGTCGGAACCAACTCGACAGTACCTAACAACAACACAATCTAAAGCAATACAGATTTATATGTCATTATTTTTCCATAACAGATTACAAAAGGATTTTTTTTTTTAATGAGACTGCCAGTGGCTGGTGAGGGAGTGAGACTTATTAGTTGAACTTAGAGTTCCTTTCATGTATTTTATAATATCAAAAAATAGCCACAGTATACTGCTAATTATAAAACAAAAGATAAAAAAATTGAGTACTATGAATCTAATTTTATTAAAATTAAAAGAAATACATGTAGAAAAATATAGTCAAAAATAGAACAAAATTGGTTAGTAACTGGTTAGAATTATGGGTGACTTTATTTTATAATTGGTGTCTTCCAAATTTTTTTTGTAATGAATACTATTATTGTTTTAAAATCAGATAAAATATTTTTGCGAGATACCGGCAATTATAAATTTCATTAACTAATGAAAATAGGGAACTAAGAGTCATTTAGCAGATAGACCAAATGAAAGAAGACAGTATGGAGCAGGCAGGGTGGGTTTGGCTGTTCTAATGAAGAAATTAGAGAAGCTTTAGTAAATTGAAGCTGTCTATGTGGGTGTCAGTGATGAGGAACCAAAGCAGGCGTTTATAATTGTAGATTGCAATATTTAATACTTTGTGTTTATAAATAGGCTTATTAACATTTCATTTTAAAGTATGTTTGTACATTTTCTTGTTTTAGCCTTATGATTACTGTGGTTAGGTAGGTATACCAGGTATTTTCTACATTTTGTAGTTGAGAAATATTTAAGAAAGAAAAAAATTCTACAATGTTGTATAAAATGCTCTCTAGCTACATACAGAATGATGGTGCTAAAAGGATAATCTTTTATGCTAGGGAAGCTAGGCAACTTGCAATTACATAGCCTACATTTATAAATTTAAAGTATAAATTGGTTATAGGAAAATGTGAAACCATTTTGTAAAACTTGGTTTCTTTTGAAAGCCTAAACGCAATTTGAATAAATAATATTTTAATTATGGAGATTAGTTATCGAGTTTGAGGTTAATTTTGTTAGTGGTTCTTGACAGAGATGAGGACTCTGATTTCTATGGGATGTGATACAAGCTATGAATCCTTTACTCAGAAAAATGTATGCCCAAAATTTTACACATACTGTCAGATGAGTTACACACACCCCTGATTTCTGTCCATTGCCAACCTGGTAGCTGTTGGATCGTAGGTTAGTAACTTCTGATTTAGAATCGTTTCAGATGGTAATTGAGGAAAAATGAGCAATGTAAAGGGAAATCTTAGTTTTATTGCTGTCTTAATTATTTATCTTTATATTAATTATATTTATCTTAATATTTATCTTAATTGTCTGAAGGAAAAAGTTTGTGATAGTGGTTTTGTAGCAGACTTAAGCATTGTTTTCAGTCTGTTACATTTCTAACTTGTTACTGTTAAGATCGTTAATAAGACTGCATTTGGAATTCTGCTGTCAAGTTTCTTTGGCATGGTCCTTGGTTGTGTTATTCATTTACTGAATGCTCATTTTCTATTATCCTTATATGAATGAATACATTTCAGGAGTAGAAATTGTGTCAAGCATTCCTGTGTGTATATAGGTGCTTAAAGGGTTGATTTTAGAAATAATTGCATTTTATTATTTTAAAATAATAAAAAAAGTTTTATATTTAAACAGGAGAATCTTATTTATACTGCTGATCCAGAATCCTTTGAAGTAAATACAAAAGATATGGACAGTACATTGAGTAGAGCATCTAGAGCAATAAAAAAGACTTCAAAAAAGGTGAGATTTCCTTGAAATTATTATTAAATAATAATAATAATAATAATAAAACCAAACTCACTGCCGTGGAGTCAGACCCGACTCATAGCAACCCTTCCTTGGGTTTTGGAGGCGGTATCACTACAGAGGTAGATTACCCAGTCTTCCTTCTGAGGAGTGGCTGGTGGGTTTGAACCACCAGCCTTCTGGTTAGCAGTCAAGTGCCTTAGGTACTATGCTACCAGAGCTCCTATCAGGAATATAAAATTTGATATAAAATAAAAATTGAGGGAAATAACAGTAACATTCGACCAATTTTATCCCTTAGTTAAAAAGTTTTTCACATAGTTAAGTAAAAATAACACCGATATTCCCAATGGAAAAATGACAAAGCGTATAAATACAAATATGCGTCATTTAACATCTGTTCAGGCAATGTGTGGCCACATAAGTGTCCATGGACTGGAGTACCCAGGTGTCTGAGTTTTAGGATGCCAGACCCTCATCTTGTGGTTGGAGCCCCACTTCTGATTGTGTGTGTTGCCCAGGAGCCACCTAGTCTTTGGCAATGGATACTAAGGCCCAAATCCCAACCTTGGTTTCCTTTGGCTTCCATTACTCAGTGGATCTAGTACCTGTGTTTTGTCCTTCATGGTCCCATAGGGTGCTGATGGAAGGATATGTGCATTGAGCACCCCAGCCCTAACTTGGACATCTTAAACCCCCTTGGCCTGAATTGGCCTTCTCTGCAATTGGCTTAGCAGAGAAGGTGACAACAGCTGGGCAAGAGCTGGGGGAGGCATCAACAGTGGGAGCTGCTAGGGCTCAGCATTGCACAGCAGCTCTTGTGCCAGTGTGCTTGGGCTTGGGAGCCCCAAGCCTCTGGATACAGGTGTTTACACAACGTCCCAATCATATCCTATTTCACAGAAGGTGTCATAGATCATGGGAGCTCTAGTAGCATAGTGCATAAGGCACTTGACTGCTAACCAGAAGGCTGGTGGTTCAA